GTTTTTGAGTGCCTGCTCTGTCCTGGGTCTTACACTTAGAATAAAATGCCCTGATTAGGAGTAAGCATCCGGTACCATTAGAACATACGTGAAGATGGGAAGAAGGAAGCTCCCTAGCAATGAAGACATCATTATGGAAACACAAGAGACCTGGAAGTGGGTAAGGCATTCTGGGCACAGGAAAAGAACAGAGGAAGGCTCAAAGACAAAGCAGGGCTGTGGTAATTCAAGATGGATGAACCTGAGAGTAGCATGCAGGCTAAGAGTGTAAGTGATGAGAGGAGAGGGGAGCGATGAGGCCAGGAAATAAACAACGAGTGCTGTTGAGGACAGCACAGAGAGTAGGGGAGCCCCGGAGGCTGGGAGCGGGCATGGGAAGCCCTCAGTCCTGACTGCCTAATCAAGCGCTGCCCTTATCTGCCTACTCCCATCATTTAGCTCTGTTAAGTCAGGGTCTTGCCATGTTGCCCAGGTTGGTCTCAAACTCTCAGACTCAAGCATTCTTCCCACTTCAGCTTCCCAAATTGCCGAGTGCTGGGACTGTACAGATGCTCCACCTGGCCCAGCTTGGCTCCTTTACTGGATTCTGAGCTGGTGACCTCCAATCACCATTCAGTTGTCCCTCCTGGGGCCCGCCTGCCTCCTGCTTGGAACTCTAAATGCCAAGTTACGGTTGCTGCTGGGCAGTTCCTGTCTGGCATCTTCCCCAGCTTATCCCCATCTCCAAAGTATCTCCTTCTTTGTCCCCAGTGAACTTTTCTGCAAACTCATTGTGCTCGTCTCACAAAAGGGAGGGGCCGCCACCTATCTTACTTGCTCTCTTGCCTGACCCCTTCATCTGGATTAGAAACACCAGAGAGAATTTTTTCGATCGGGAGGTTCCTCCCACATGTCTGCTAGTGATGCCATCAGTTCAAAGGCAGACGGTGAAAGAGGTGACCTTGGTGTTTGATGCAGTCGTCCCTGGGAGATGGCAAAGCTCATGAGTCCCATCGAGGAAGGACTGGCCAGAGAGGAGTGGCAACCAAATTCCCCTCCCCAAGTCTCACCTTGATGGATTGCATTCCTGCGGATTCTTTCCTGTTATTTCCAGGAGGGAAACACTGGCAACAGAGGAATCCTAACAAAAACAAAAAACAAAAAACAAACAAACAAACAAAAAACACCAAAAGAGACATGTACAGCTCAGTCAAAAAGAAACACTGTGTTGCATAGAAATCTTAGACTTTTTGTTTCTTTCTAATATTTACTTGTGTTGTTTCTTCCAGGTAGCTTGTGTAAACAGGACTGTAATGATAACTCTTTCCACCAGCCGCCTGAGCCCCTCCACCACACCAGGGCCCCAAATAACACACAGAGTCTTAGTTACAATGCTGCTGGCCGATGACTAGGATTTCTTATCTGCTAGCTCAGTCTTAATTACCAACCATAATCATTAATCTATATATTTTATAAGGACATCTTATTGAGGATGCCAGCTGCTAGCATCCTCTCTTTAGGGGATCACATGGCGACTCCGTCTCTTACTACATTTCCCAAAATCCTCCTCAACTCCTAGTCCTGCCTAACTTGCTCCCCTATTGGCCAACAGTGCTTTATTTATCAACCAATAAGGCAAACATATACACAGAAGGACTTCCCCCATCACAGGATGATAGGTAGCAGAATTTTAGGATATCCCAGGGCATAGGCACTTTTGGATTCTGACCTGTTTATAACAGTGGTGTGGGCACTTTCTGTTCTTCGAAATTTCGGGGGCTTGAGAGGCATGGAACAAAAGAAGTGTGTGGTTATATTAGCCCAGAGTATCGGTGGATACCACAATGGTCTACTTAACTTATATAATAATGAATTAAAGTATTTAACTTTCTTTTCAATAAAGGAATAATTTCAAAGTCCTTTGACGCTGTGATGTTTGCCATGATGTAATAAAACTAGGAGGCAAAATGTGTCCTCAAATAAACTCAGGATGGATTTGCCCTCTGGAGCTGCCTAACCGTAACAGTGACCATTAGTTAAGACATCACTTAATTAACAGTACCTGTCCTAACATATTTTCAGCAAGTTAAAAAAAATGCAGCATCAACAAAGTGCTGATTATTGTCTTCATGCTTGACAAAATGCAATACCTTGTTTTGCAGCATGGGCACTGGACTTACACACTGAACAACACACACCATTCTCCTCAAGCCCTGAAAGTGACAGTGACCTCCCGTGCCTCCAGCCTGGCCATATCCCCAGCCACTGTGGAAGCCTTTGTGGAAAGAGACAGCACCCACTTTCCTCAGCCGGTGATTATTTATGCGAACGTGAGGATGGGTCTGTACCCCATTCTTAATGCTACTGTGGTGGCAACAGTTGAGCCAGAGGCCGGAGATCCCATTATGCTGCATCTTTTGGATAATGGAGCAGGTAAGGAAGAGCAGCATGGCGCTGTGCTATGATGAGGCAGGTGTTAATAACCCCTGGGAAATCCTTTCAGCCCAGATGCTTTCCTAGTCAATCTGATCAGATTCTCGAGAGCTTGTCTGAAGGGGAATCCAGCTACTCCTAGGACCCTTGATCACAGACTGGTCCTCCTCTGTTGGGAAGGGTCCTCTGCTTGAACTGAGGGAAGGATGGGCCTGGAGTGGTGAAAGAGGAAGTGGCCACTCACCCATTTTATAGATATAAAACCAAGGTCAAAGGCATCCAACTTCAAGCTGTCCTGGTACAGATCCATAACTTAAACCCTGGTCCCTAGACAGGGTTCTATTTCATTTCCAACAGCAAGGCACAATGGTAGGAACTAAAGCCTGCAGCTCAGGGAACTCTTTCTGCTCTAAATGGCAGCGTAGTGTGTCCTCTATTGAGGAAATCAACTAGCTGCATGCTATTTTATCAACTACCAAAGCTGTTTAGCATTTCATTCAAGGCTCTTAAACAAAGGCTTCTCTTGAACTTACATGAAAATTTATGCTTGTGCATTTGAGTTTATCTTTTGGAGGCAAATTTTATTTCAAAGGGGTGAATAAATGTGGTCATGTGTCCATAAATAATCTTAAGAATACTTTGCTTCTGTAGACATTATTATTAGCTTTTTAGTTGAAAATAGATTTTAGTACAATATATTCTGTTGTTATCTTGGATCATTTGAATGAAAGATGTCAAGATGATTGATTTAAGTGTTGCCTCTGAATTAGGTGTAATGACACTGGGTGCATTCAGAGTGATACGTTCACAGCTTGTTCAGCTTTAGAAACAACTTTTCAGAGATGAAGTAATCACGGGAAGAAATTATGATGCCATCTTATTTTAAATCACATGATAATATCAAAAGTAGCTACCGTAACATATGCCAAGATAGAAATAATTTTGCAGGGGTGAGGGATGTCTCTGAGACCTTCACAGGCCTACAGAGAGACCATCTGCAGGAGACAAGAAGACAGCTCGGTTCAAATTTCCCTAGTCTGACACAATCTGATGAAAACTTTCCTGGTGACTACTAACTCAAACCTGTGTGCAAAACAAAGCACATACAAATCTCTCTGAGAAACAAAATAAGCTAAATGAAGGCCAGACGTGACTACAGTGAAACCCTTTATGAGACACATGTGACAGTTCCATACAGAAAGGTTCTATAGACTGACTGAGAAAAACCAACTTATGATAAGCGTCTGGACAAGGGTCTGGCCACACAGATAGGACAAAGGTTACCAGGCTAGAAAGCACACCTGCTCCCAGCCTTCTGGGTGAAAAACAGGTCTTGCATTCCTTCCTAGGAGGAACAACTCGGTGTGCTTAAAATCCTAGCTTCCCCTAGTGCCTATCTGTGAGCACAAAGACCTCTCTGTTCCCTCCAGCAAGAGGGATAAACAGTTAATAACTTATCAAATATCAGCAATCAACTCTGATAACATGTTGATGATGAATTTTTATCTATGTGCACAGGTGCTGATGTTATAAAAAATGATGGAATTTACTCCAGGTATTTTTTCTCCTTTGCTGTAAGTGGTAGATATAGCTTGACAGTGCATGTCCTTCACCGTCCCAGCAAAACCACCCTAGCCCACTCTGTTCCAGGAAGCCACGCTGTGTATGTACCAGGTTATATAGCAAACGGTAAGAACCATTTACACTGTGAATATATGTAATATTAACGCGCGCGTGCGTGCGTGCGTGCGTGCGTGTGTGTGTGTGTGTGTGTGTGTGTGTGTGTGTGTGTGTGTGTGTGTGTGTGTGTTTTAGGCAGAGATAGGAGGGGAGATGATAAAGGAAGAAGGAGGGAGAGAGAAAAGATGGAGAGATAAAGAGGCAGAGGGAGGTAGACAGGAGAAGGGAAAGAACTGAGAGAGACATGAAATTTTCAAACCATACTCGGGACTGTAGCTAGAGCTCAGTGGTAGAGCACTTGCCTCACATGAACTAAGATTCAGTCACCAGTAACACACACACACACACACACACACACACACACACACACACACACACACTAAAGTAAAACTATCTTATCTTAAACCACTATTAATTGACTGCTTCTTCAATTCTTAATGATCTGTGGTAGACAATAACGAAAATAGGGATTTCCTATGGATTGATCCTCTCATTGTTTTAGTAATTTATTCTAAATACTGTCTTGTGACTGCTTGGCTGCAGTCAGTAACAGACAAAGAGATTCCTTACAATTTATTGGGTCTCATATATCCTTTATGGAGACTTAGGCAAGAGCAACAAGTTGCAAGCTTGATGCAAACAGCCCTAGAGATAAACACGGGAAATGAGTTCCTGACCAAATATGAGCTTGTCCATTATAGACAACTAAACAGAGGTTCTGCTGCCCCTCAAATAAAAGTTCTATGGAAAAATAATATTTTAGTTCATGTTAGGAAGCGTTAGTGAAAACAAAACAGTAATCTGATGTGCTATGCTGTGCAGTGCCTCTGGACCATTCCTAATAATTTTTATTTCTAAAAATAGAGGATTTGAGACAAGCGCTGTCCTTCGCCACCCCCCCATCTTCATTGGCTTTGACTTGTTTTCTTTATTTTTGCTTTTATTTTGCAGTGCTGGGACTGGCCCCCAAGCACTTGCGCACACTGGACATGTGACTCCCCCACCTCTCAGGTTCTTCCCATCTACCTTCTGGGGTGGCACTGCCTGGGCCCAGCTCCTCCATTTACTGCTGTGCAATGTGGAGCAACTTACTTAGCTCTGTGTCTCTGGTTTCATTACCAATAAATGTATTGATAATTTCACCTTCCACATTACCTTGCTAGGGGAATTAAATACAAGATATTTAAAATACTTTGCAGTTAATACCATTTATTATAGTTAAAAATCATCATTAGATAGCTTTATTAATTCATATAGTTTTGATAACATTTATATACCCACAACCTCCAAATTCATAATTTTCAAATGATTGAAACTAGCTCCATTTTAGAGGAATCATTAACTTACCTTTTGTCTCTGGCTCCTTGGCCATCTTCTCCTATCAAATTACACCAATTAGAAACTATTTTAGGAACTACTATTAAAATATTTGCTTGTTTTATTATTATTATTGAGTGTGTAAATGCTAAAGCAAGTGTGTGGCGCTCAGAAGACAACTTGTCAAACTGGTTCTCTTTTCCCCACATGGGTCTAATTGATGCCTTCCATCAACTTTTCTTTTGCCATTCCACAGTCAAATCTACCATCAGCTTGTGCTGTCTGCAAATTATGCATTGAACTGCCCTTGATTGCATCCTCCTGAAGTTAGCATTAAAGGCTGCCTCTGTCTTCTCTCACGGTGACTACTGAATGGCTCTTTCTTTTCCTCTTTTAAAATTTCATTTTACATCCCAACCACAGTTCTCCCTCCCATCCCTCCTTCCAACTTCCTTCGCCTCCCCACCCCAGCTCACTCCTCCCAAAGGGTAAGACCTCCCATAGGGAATCAACAAAGTCTGGCACATTAAGTTGACTTGGGACCAAGCCCCTCCTCCCTGCATTAAGGCTGAGTATGGTGTCCCACCATAGGAAATGGACTCCAAAAAGTTAGCTCATGCACCAAGGATAGATTCTGGTCCCCTTGCCAGGGGTCACCAGAGAAACCAATTTTGCAACTATCTCCCACATGCAGAGGGCCTAGTGCGATCCCATGAAGGCTCCACAGCTGTCAGTCTAGAGTTCATGAGTTCCCATGAGCTTGGTTCAGCTGTCTCTGTGGATTTCCTGTCATGATCTTAACCTCCCTTGCTCATATATTCCCTCCTCCCTCTCTTTGTCTGGGTTCCCAGAACTCAGCTTGTTCTTGGTTGTGGATCTCAGCACCTTGTTCCATCATTTCCTGGATGAAGCCTCTATGATGACAGTTGGAGTATTCACCAATCTGATTACAGGGGAAGGCCAGGTCAGGTACCCTCTCTACTATTGCTACGAGTCTTAGCTGGGGTCATCCTTGTAGATTCCTGGGAATTTCCTAGCAGCAGGTTTCTCTCTAATGGCTCCCTCTATCAAGATATCTCTTTCATTGCTCTCCCACTCTATCCATCCCCTGAATTGACCATCCCATTCCTTCATGTTCTCCTCCCCCATGCCCTCTCATCTACCACCCCACCCCCAGTTTACCTAGGATCTCATCTAATTCCCCTTCCCAGGGTGATTCATGTGTCCCTCTCAGGGTCCTCCTTGTTACCTAACTTCTCTGGATTTTAGATTGTAGTCTGGTTATCCTTTGTTTTACATCTAGTATCCACTTATGAGTGAATACATACCGTGTTTGTCTTCCTGAGTCTGGGTTACCTCACAAAGGATGACATTTTTCTAGTGCCATCAATTTGCCTGCAAATTTCATGATGCCATTGGTTTTTATAGCTGAGTAGTACTCCATTGTGTAAATACACCACCTTTTCTTTATCCATTCATTGGTTGAGGGGCATCTAGATTGCTTCCAGTTTCTGGCAATTACAAATAATGCTGCTATGAACATTGTTGAGCAAGTGTCCTTGTGGTATGATTGAGCATCCTTTGGGTATATGCCCAACAGTGTTACCACTGGGTCTTGAGATAGATTGATTACCAACTTTCTGAGAAACTGCCATACTGATTTCCAAAGTAGATGTATAAGTTTGCACTCCCACCAGCAGTGGAGGAGTGTTCCCCTTACTCCACACCCTCTGCAACATAAGCTGTCCTTAGTAATTTTTTATCTTAGCCACTGAATAGTTCTTTCTAAGTGGCCTCTTGCTTACTGACATTTGATCCATTCTCTAGGGACCTGTTAGAAAGCAACATGATGAATCCTGTCATCTCTGCTTCCCCACAGCACTAGAATTAAAACCTAAGCCTGCTACACTGATCCCTGAGGTCAGTTATTACCTGCTCTTTGGCCTTTCTGCTTTCTGTTTGTTTATAGTGCTGGAGACTGAATCCCAGGGTAGCATGCATGCATGCAGCAGCTATAGCCACCCTCTTTTTTTAAGTTTAGTCTCCCTAACCCGCAGCTTTCCTGAACCTAGATTTTCATGCAAGGTTCTCTCTGCCCAGGATGTTTCTCCCCTCACTCCTTACCTGACCAGCTCAGCCCTTGGTAAACTTGAATGTTACTTTCTCAATACCACCCTAAATGATGTGACCTTGCAGAGCACCCTGCGTTTTTATTATCCTATATTAATCACAGTTTATAAATATCTATATACTGATATGACTGCCATGGCTATAAATCTCATGAGGGAGACTGTTTAGTATGATTCATAGCACAGCAGTCCAACACAAAGAATATGTGTGTAGGGAATAAATGGATGGATGGACACATTATTGACTCAGCAAACTCAATTGTTCTAATAATTGTCTCAACAATCTGTCAAAGCAGTTCAGGGGATTTGTAATTTGCTATTTGGCTTTCTCTTTGTGCTCCAGATAATATTCAAATGAATGCTCCAAAACAAATAGGCCAAAGAGGCATGAAGGAGCAGTGGGGCTTCAGTAGAGTAAGCTCTGGGGGATCCTTCTCAGTGCTGGGAGTTCCAGTTGGCAGCCATCTTGACATGTTTCCACCATGCAAAATTACTGACCTGGAAGCCGTAAAATTCGAAGAGGATGTGATCCTTTCTTGGACAGCGCCTGGGAAAGACTATGATCAGGGCCAGGGTAGGTTTGCTGACTTTGTTACATAACTGCCATAACTCCTTTCCACTGATAGTATGACAGTATCTCTCTCTCTCTCTCTCTCTCTCTCTCTCTCTCTCTCTCTCTCTCTCTTTCTTTCTCTGTGGTCATTTTTTATTGTTTTCTGTAGTAAGCTTTCTGGTCAGTCTTTATTTGGGCCACCAGCCCCCAAGTAATGACATGGAGACTTATTAATAATTACAAAAGCTTTGCCTTAGCTTAGGCTTGTTCACAATTAATTCTTATAATTTAAATTAATCCATTCATATTAGTTTACATTCTGTCCTGTGGCTGTTATCTCTTCTCCACAATGTATGTCCAACTTCCTATGTATCTCACTGTCAAAATCTGCATGTCTGATTCATCTCCTGAGTTCCTTTCTCTCAACAGAAATCCTGCCTATTCTCTCTTGCCTAGATATTGGCCATTCCGCTCTTTATTAAACCAAGCAGAACAAAAAAAGTGGCACAATGTGATCAAATATAGCACAACAGTTTTCCATATAAACTTTTTAAAAAGTTTCACTAGTTAAATCAAGACCCAGATACAGTTAAAATAAAACAGCCTAAAATTTATGTAATAACTTGTAGGGAGGATGACATCTTGGTTATGTTGCATCTTGCTTTCAAAAAGCACCAAGTCCTTCAGGCTTAGATTTTAGCATGAATCTTTGCATTGTGACTTGGTATTTACTGCTTTTCTAGTTGTATATTTCTTGATGGTTTGACTTTTTGTGGCTATTTTTATTACTCATTTTCAATAAACTAAAAAACTTACTCAGTGACTAAACTTTCCCATTTGTATTTTCAATTTCAGCTACAAGCTATGAAATAAGAATGAGTAAAAGTCTACAGCGGATTCAAGATGACTTTAACAATGCCATTTTAGTGAACACATCAGAACTAAATCCCCAGCAAGCTGGCACAAGGGAGATGTTTACATTCTCACCCAAGATTGTCACCGAGGAACTTGAACATGAACCTGATGGAGAAATGCAAGAAAACCACATAGTATATGTGGCCATGAGAGCAATGGATCAAAACTCCCTGAAGTCAGCTGTGTCAAACATTGCCCTGGTGTCACTGTCAGCTTTCCCAAAGTCTGCTCCTACATTTCACAGAGAAGACCTGATACTGAAAGGAGTTTTAGTAGCATTAGGTTTGATAGCAATCGTCTGCCTTGTTGTTGCTGTAGCACACTGTACTTTAAACAAGAAAAAGAGAGAATCAAAGAAAGACAATGTAACAAAATTGCTATGAACAAATAGTACCTATCTTCCTTGAGGTGATGTGTATGGCCTTTACATTAATAAAACTAACGCCAACAAAATCAAATTAACATCAACACTATGTTGGAACGCATTTGGGTATTTATATAATATGGTTCAGGTTTATACATAGCAGATAGACAACCCCCCAAAAAAACCAACTTTTATAATACTCATTTAAGGGGGAGAGTTAAAAATAGAAAGGTTCCAATTACGGAAAATAATTTTTAAAAAATTTTAAAAATATTGAAAGGAAGGCAAGGGCAAAATCAAGTCTGAGTCAAGAAAAGCTAGTCTTTTTTTGTTTTGTTTTTTTTGAGACAGGGTTTCTCTGTGGCTTTGGAGGCTGTCTTGGAACTAGCTCTTGTAGACCAGGCTGGTCTCGAACTCACAGAGATCAGCCTGCCTCTGCCTCCTGCCTCCCGAGTGCTGGGATTAAAGGCGTGCGCCACCAATGCCCGGCCTAAGAAAAGCTAGTCTTATTGAAGTTGGGGAAAATAAATGTTCCAGGCACAGAAAATAGGCAGTGTCACTGTGTGAAGAAACCATTTTACTTTGACTAATTTCTCATCTCTGCTTATCTGTGCAGAGCAGGGTGAGTGTTTACAACCGACAACCCCAAGATGCTATATAGACAAGGTCTCCACTGCAGGGCTCTTTATGTCTTCTCCTCTGGTGAAGGGCACTATGTGATATTCCCCACCAGTGCCTGGGCAGGTCCTTTCTCACTGTGGGAAGAGACCTTAGAATATGGCTATGTCCTTGCTCCTAGATACTGACCTGTGACAAAGGTCACCAGAGTTTGTTGTTTGTAAGATTCTAGTCCCTTTGAAGTGGCTTTCTAAGATATTGTCTTGGAAATGATTAAATAAAACTAATTGCAGCTCTCATGAGGCTTTAAGGAAAGAATAAAAAACATTATTCTTAAGTAATTTTGTTATGTACACCATACAGTTTTATTCTGTTTCAAAGAAGAAGTCATGGAAAGACAGGCATTCAGAAGCAACTTGAAAATCTGTCCTTTAGTTAAATAAGAACCTGCAATTATTCTTCATCAAGGACAGAGAAAGGAGGCAGCAGAGATAACACCGAAGAAAGCCTTCGAAAATTACTTCCTATTTTTTAATAAATGTTATTGAATAGTAACAGCATTTCATTTTTTACATTCAAGCACTTAAAACTATTGAATAAATATAAAAATATAGATGAAGTTTGCGTTTATAACCAGCATCAATTAAGAGTGATTTTGTCACATTTGGGGACATGTAGTTGGGGACATGGGAAAAATGGAAAGAGAGGACACGAGGCCAGGAGTGAGAGTCAGTGGAGTGGGAGAAAAACAGCCAGGGGTTCTCTCTGCCCCAGCTGCCTCCCAGGAATTCCTGTTATGGTCGGTCGGTGGGTAGACAATCTATGTTTCCAGTCCCTAAACCCCACAGGCTGGGTCTCAACATGGAGCTGAACCCTTCTGCCCTGTGTTGCCACCACAACTGATAGCCAGGATTTTGCGTCTCTGTGGCTTCAGATTTGGCTGGTGAAATACAGAGACGGGGCCTTGAGTAAGGGGTTCAAGTCCTCGGGTGTTTTTCTCATTTTACAGACAGAAAGACAGACAATCAGGGCGGATCAAGGCCCCGTGCTGGAGGATAGCAGAACTGCATAAACACAGAGTCTGGTTATCAGCTATCACTCTGCCTACTGAAGAAGGTCTGAGAGCTGCCGGGGATGCTTCACTCTTCCAGGGTCCACTAGCTGGCCAGAGACAGTTGTGTTTGATGCATACTTGAATCCCAACATTCAAGAGTTTGCGGCAAAAGGATAGAGACGTGAGGCCAGACTGGACCAGATACCTAGACTCTGTCTCAGAAAACTAAAATACAAAAAAAAAAAAAAAAAAAAAAAAAAAAAAAAAAAAAAAAAGAAGAAGAAAAAGAAAAGGGAAAAAAAAACAATAAAAGACTTGATTTATCTCTTGTTTTTCTCCCCCATTTTCTACAGCAAGTATAAACAAGCACATCTAGAAATTAACCAAAGGGCAGAGGCAAAAGTGAAGGGCACCAAAGACGTAAAGTTAACGCATGCGTAGAGCAGGGTGGTCGCGTGCAGTGGGGAGGGTAGATGATACTCAGTATCAGGAGGGCAGAGAGTCTGGAGGCAACGAGAACCACGCAGTAGTAGAGTAATAGACAGAGGGACTACGGAATTCGAGACCCCAGCCGCCCACAGGGCAGAGCTGTGGTCAAGTTCCTGTTGATCATTAACAAATGAGAAAGCAGAAACAGAAAACTGGGACAGGGAGAACAAGGAAGAATGAAGTATTAGTCACCGGCTGTATACAACGGGAATAATAGCATCATTAAAAGTTTGACCTGAGATTATAAGAGGAGGAAAAATGTGACCTAGACACTCAGTTATCTGATCCGGACAGAGAAGTCTGGGAAGTGAAAGTAATACAGGCAGAGGGCATAGTCTTTAAATGACAGAACGGTAATTGTTATATAGTAGATAAAACTGTGTTCTAGACATTAAAGCCTTCCCACTTTTTGTTCATCTTTCAGTGCTGGAAAATAAAGATTAAATTAAATTTCGATGGGCGACAGACAAAAGTAGTAGATGGTGCCCTCTTACAGACTATTAACAGAGCATATGCTCAGCCACTGAGAAGGCCACTACTGAGCCCGCACTGTGTCGCTTGCATGTTATTATCAGAAAAATCTACCCCCCCAAAAGATTTATTTGCCTTTGTCAGTCTGCTCTTAAAATGTATTTATTCCAAGAAGTACTGAACCCGCTATATCACTTATTTCAATTTTAAATCCAATGCACTGATAAGTGAAGTTTCTCACTTCAAACAAATTTTCCTGCTGGCCACAACTAAAGCTGTAGACAGAATATGAAACAAGGTTCTTAAGACACTAAACACCAACAAAACCAGGCAAAAACCAGGCAGGCTGTGCCACATCAGTGGGGATGTCTTCAAGGTAAGATCTGATTTTATTTAGCCAGCTCTCCCCAGGAGACTCTCACTGTTTGTGTGAAACATTAGACAATGCTCAGGCACAAAGCAGGAGTTTTATGGGGTGAATAAACTAGGCTCTCAGGACACTAGTGTAGTTGGAAATTGGAAAGTGAAATCTGAGAACGCAGGTTATCACACAGGGGAAAGTTGCCAATCGACACCTTTTCCTTGTTTGGATGAGTCTTACATTGCACAGGGTGTTTTTGTGAGAAAAATATCTCAAAGGCAAAAGATCTGGATAAATATTTAGCTACTGCCTCATTCTGAGGAAAAGGTGCTTGAAGACTCAACTGCATCTACATGAGAAAGGTGGTAAGCACATTGGGTTTTCTCTGGCCACAGTGGAGACCATGTTACCTAATTAAGTTATAGCTTAGAAGCAAAGGAGAATTTTGATCTGCTCTGAAAAAGCCTGATGTCAAGTCTCCTTAGAAATCAAGACAACTAATAATTAAACTAGTACTAGACTAGAACTCAGAGAAAAATAATACATACAATACTACACACACACACACACACACACAGAGAGAGAGAGAGAGAGAGCGAGAGAGAGAGAGAGAGAGAGGAAGATCTGTTGGTTGAAGGAAAACAATTATCTAGATCTGGAAATAGATAACAATGAGATAATAACAACTATTATAAAGATGATATACTATAGGAAAAGGAGAATTTTGAGAAATTTTCCAAACATTCAAAAAGAAAGCAATGGTGAAGCCTAAAGTTCCACCAGGGATCCACAGCTGTTAGACACTTTCAGCAAAATAGCTGAACACAAAGTTAACTCACCTTAAAAGTCAGTAGCCCTTCTATATACAAATGATAATGGACTGAGAAAGAAATCAGGGAAACAATGTCTTTCACAATAGCTTCAAATAATATAAAATATCTGGGTGTAACTCTAACCAAGCATATGAAAAATTTATATGATAAAAAGTTCAAGTCTTTGAAAAAAGAAATTGACTGGACATGGTGTCATATGCCTTTAATCCCAGCACTCTAGAAGGTAGAGGCAGGTGGATCTCTGAGTTTGAGGCCAGTCTGGTCTACATAGCAAATTTTAGGTCACCCAGGGCTACACAGAGAAACCCTACTCCAAAAAAAAAAAAAAGGAAGGAAGGAAGGATGGAAGGAAGGAAGAGAAATAGAAAATATCAGAAAATGGAAATATGTCCCATTCTCATGCATTGGTAGGATTAACATAGTAAAAACAGTTACTACCAAAAGAAATCTACAGATTCCAAGGAAACCCCATCAAAAATATCAACACAATTCTTCACAGATCTTAAAAAGGACAATTCTCAGCTTCATAGAGATGCACACACACACACACACACACACACACACACACACACACACACACACACACATACACACACACAAACAAACAAAACAAAAAATAAGATAACTAAAACAACCCTGAACAATAAAGAGCTGCAGATCTCACCATCCTACTCAGAGCCATAGTAAAAACAGACATGTCAATCAAAGGAAACAAACTGAAGATCTAGACATAGATCTACATACCCATGGACACCTGATTTGGATAAAGAAGCCAGAAATATACACTGGAAAAAAATAGCATCTTCAGTAAATGGTGCTGGTCAAACTGCACATAGGAGAATACAAGCAGATTCATACTTATCACCCTGCAAAACCTCAAGTCCAAATGGATCAAAGACTTCAACATAAAACCAGATACACTGAACCTGATAAAGGAGAAAGTGGGGGAACACCTAGAACTCTTTGGCACAGGAAAAGACTGTCTGAGCAGAAAGCTGATAGCACAGGCGCTAAGATCAACAATCAATAAAAGAGACCTCATGAAACTGAAAAACTTCTGTAAGGCAAAGGACACCATCACTTGGATAAAGGGGCAGCCTACAGAATGGGAAAAGGAGTTTTACTAACTCCACATCCAATAGAGGACTAATATCCAAAATATATAAAGAACTCAAGAAACTAGATATCTCAAG